AGGAGGACAGGTGCAGATCTACGATACGGGATCGTAGATCTTGGGTAGATTCGGGTAGATCGTAGATACGGGGTATCGTCGATACCCCGTATGGCAAAGCCAAACTTTGGGTCTTTTTATTGTCCCTTAATATATAGATATTTATTTATAAATATATTTATAAATAGTATATATTTATATTTATGTACTATTTATTAAGATTATAATAAAAATTCAGAGAAGATGCAATGACGGTATCTGAGGAATAAGCATAGGCTAACTCTGTGCCAGCAGTCGCGGTAAGACAGAGGATGCAAGCGTTATCCGGAATGATTGGGCGTAAAGCGTCTGGAGGTGGCTTTTTAAGTCCGCCGACTAATCACAGGGCTCAACCCTGGACAGGCGGTGGAAACTACCAAGCGGCTTTTTAAGTCCGCCGACTAATCCCAGGGCTCAACCCTGGACAGGCGGTGGAAACTACCAAGCTGGAGTAAGGTAGGGGCAGAGGGAATTTCCGGTGGAGCGGTGAAATGCGTAGAGATCGGAAAGAACACCAATGGCGAAAGCACTCTGCTGGGCCGACACTGACACTGAGAGACGAAAGCTAGGGGAGCAAATGGGATTAGATACCCCAGTAGTCCTAGCCGTAAACGATGGATACTAAGCGCTGTGCGTATCGACCCGTGCAGTGCTGTAGCTAACGCGTTAAGTATCCCGCCTGGGGAGTACGTTCGCAAGAATGAAACTCAAAGGAATTGACGGGGGCCCGTATAATATAGATTCCCACTCTTAAACGAAAATCCTCTCAAATCTTCCTCCGAAGACCACGGTGGTCGACTTCCATAACTTTCCGCTCATCCACGGTTTCCAGGAAGGATACTTGAAGCTGCTCGCACATGTCAGCGGCGCAGAGTTGACTCCACGATTTTTCAACGACCGAATTACATATTGTACAAGTGTTTGATCACACCATGACACTGCCATGGTGGTAGGGCAAATTGTGGTGGCAGGTCAGGTCAACGATGTGTTTCTCGGCTAACGGGAGACCTGACTCATTATGCAAGCTCTACACCATATACTACGCAATCTCTCCAAACATGTCTTCTTTACCTAGAAGATTCTAAAGAGGATAAAGCTCCAAGCTAGTCCACATTGGAAGAAAATCTGCTTCCCTGCTGACAGCATAGCACCAACCCTCGGATCTTCCCCTGAGGTCCTCTGCTCATTCCTTTCAAGCAATACCTTGTTTCCTGGTTATTATTGCGCCTACGTTTGCACGCATTATTTATCCGCATCATACCGGGTGCGAAACATCATTTCACGAGATACTTCTTCCTAAAGTTGAAGAGGCAACTAAGTCGGTGAGAACTAGAACATTTAGAGCAATCTCTCTAGCTTGCACCTACTCTGTCTTACTCCTGTCGAACAAACATCGGGGACAGGACATCCAGCTCTCCACTGCATCAGCAGCTGACTGACTATCGTTGGAAGCATAAGGTGAAAGCATTTCATGCTTTGGCAATCAGGATCCGTGGATGAAACCAGCCTGTTGCTGACCACTTGAATTTAATTCAATAACAAGTCTCTTCTCTATTTGCTATGGTATACGTCCCTAACGTAGATTCTCGATTGTGGGCAATCGACTTCTTATTAAATTGAGTTGCAGTTTGGTTGCTTACGCATTCTATATTTTATCTCTCCCGAATTTTTCCCGATGCATATTTGTCCCACAGCCTTCGAATTTCACACATCACTTCAAGTTTTCCATTTCCTCATCCGTGGATGAGGTCCTTCATAGAGTACACCCCGAGAGCTCAAGTTCCACCTCAAAGGCCGGCCCCTTTTCACGGCCATTCGTGCCCGTTGCGTAGGGGAAATGGGGTTTTAGCGGGTGGTGAATGGCTCGAGATTGAGACCACGCAGTTTACAGTGTAATTAACTTCTGCTTCGGTGGAAAGTCTCTTTATGTCAAGCTTTCTGATGGTGTCGCGTGCTCTGTACAGAGAGGGATTGTATTCATCCAGCTCGTGGCTACCTCGGCGCCACCTGTTGGAGGGAACCTGTTGACCTCGACAGTCGATGGCTAGAAAGTAAGGAACGAGCCATTAGATCGACGCTTGGCATGTCAAAGTTTCGATTCGAGGTCTTCGGTATGTATGGGCGCCATAGCAGGGTGAGCCCTCTGCAAGGTCGAGCATGAATGCAGGTGGGCGATGTTGACAAACCAATGCTTAGGTGATTCTTAATGTTTGAAGCTCCGCCATCATGGTGCGAGTTCCAGCATGAGGATCGTATTGGATTCATCTCAACGATTTCGGTGCGTCCTGGAGCTGCGAGCGTCCATCCTCCAATTCTCCTGACTTAACTTGGTGGGGCTATCGAGATCTTCGCGTTCGGATCATTTGCTTGTGGCCTTCGAGCATGCATTATTATACCCTGCAACTCAACTTCCTCCTCTCATTCTAACCCTGGCCGTGCAGGATGCTGTGCTCGAATAGTCGATTGTTGCCGCTACGAGGAATAACAAAGAAACTATTACTTCAGCATCGGTCCATTGCAACTATTCTGTTCATTTCTATCAATCGGAAGCCGCCAGTCTGACGAACTTTGAGGGCGAAAGACGGTGCACCGGATAAGGACTTCGACAACTGGCTTATGCACGTGATCAACTCAAAGGATCGTATTCGTCTCCGAGATTTTCGAGGATTTCGGTTAAATTGATTGGAAATCTCCCGAAAATTGATTTGACGATCCCTGATAAGTGCCACCGCAATGGACAAGAGAAACCGCCACCGCCAGGCACTGACTTGCTACAGCCCAGAGCTTATTAACAAAGGTCACTCTGTAGTAAACAGAACGCAACTCGGATTTGAACGACCAGCGTTCTTGAGGCAAGTCCTTTACCACGAGAGACATGAACGTCAACTGCAGAAAGGCTTTTTGTTAATCACACTTCTCTTCCCAAACAGCTGTTGATCCGAGTCCTAGAGGGCAGGTGGAGACTAAAGAATACCGACATTAACGGACTAGAGCACTTCGGTAGGGCTAGCAACTCCTCAGTGAACGGATATGCTGGCTAGCTTGTCCGTTTTCAGACTTAGAGACGACAGGCTGATGCGGGGATGGTAGAGGAGTGCAAGTTTTCTGGTACCGAGATCAAGACGAATGCACTCTCTGTGGAGTCTAGTGAACTCTGATGCGTAAAGGGATCGGACTTGGTCGGAATGTCAATCCTCATAACATGACAGAGTTTGTGATGTGGACTTATTGGATTTCTTTGGCAAAGTAAGTATGACAAAGAACCAACACATTTGCATGCGAGTATGGTAATCATGGATCGTTCGGTTACCTACCTCCCGAGGTAGCGTCACGGGCACCTGTTTTCTTCAGACTTCCAGATAAGGGCGTTGAAGAGTAATCACTACTCCAATGGGCACTTCCGTCCGAAATAGAAGACAACAAAAATTCCCCGGGGAGTTTTTCAGATGTATTCGTGATTGCCTATGTTAGACTGGCGCCGACTGATGGGTGTTAGCCTGCTGGTGGGAATGCAACATATTTCTTGAGAATGAAGTTACTTATAATCACCATTCCCAATCATGTAGCGCATTCAGTCAAGTCTCGCTCCAGAGTCCAAATGAACATGTGCTTCAAAGGTCACCCGCAAGCCGAACAAAGCATGCAACGGATTCAGCACCTTGGTGTAAGTCTAACAGAACAGAAAATCAAGTGAGGCTGACAATTTGCCGTATTGAACCGACAACTGTGTTCTCTGTGACATGCAAGTTATGGCGCCATCGTCCATGTCAGAGAGACATGCGTTGGCAGGAAGCAGTTTTGGGCGTCCATCTTGGAAATTTGCGAAGTAGAAGCTCCCCGGCTGTTGCACTGTGATCCGTCCTGTTGTGACATGCACTTTTAGAAATAAATCGCTTCTTACGAGAAGAGACCGTCGCTCTGGCAACATTTACCCTGCAGTGCCGACGTGCTCATCAGCACTGGTCGCGACAAGCTCTACTTGACACACTGACGCTTCACAAGCAGCCACTTCGTTGACATCTTTCAGCAAAAATGTCATCTGAAGACGGACATCGGTTCAACCGTTATCAGTAAGTCCAATTTACTCTAGATCAGAAGCATGGGCTTTTATCTTGTATATGTTCGTGTTATTCAGTTGTGAGACATTAGGCGTGCTACTGTCCTATCTCCTGGCTGTAGTCTGTGTATATGCTAATGCTCCTCAGCAGACTTCAAGACTTCTCCCCACAGAGGGCATGCGGCAGTTTTTCTAGAACAATAACATAGAAAGTTGACTTGTGGCTTGAGCTTCTCGATCAGATGTTCAGAGACTGGCTAATTGATGTAGATGCTCAGCAGCCGCACAAACTTTTTGGTCTTTTACTAAGTCTACAACGAAGAGTAGTTTCCACTCCGGGAGAATGAAGTCACGATTGTCAAGCAGGACTCATGCGGAACGACTAAAGTGTACAGCCGACGTCAGGTCTTAAAAGTGTCTACGCGCAATTTCGGGCCTAGAGGAATTTCATAGTCGTAGGCAAGGTCAAATTTTTCAAAGACAGCGTCGCGCACAAGTTTCTAGAAGTCATTTAGGGTTCGATCAAATGGATTTGATCCTTGTCTAAACTGGGAACTTTTCGAATGCGTGTACGCTGGTTTACTCGGTTAACGATCAGAACGGAAATATCTTCCTCGCTGTTCAGTCAATGATCAAAGCTCAGAGATTATAGTGCAAACACCAAAAAAATTCACTTTCTCCATCCTCCTTGTCCTCAAATTCATGTCACTCTGTTTCGTTGCGTGGGAGAAAGCTAACATGACGCGTGTCCCGTACTTTTCAGTAGGTTCGTCTGTTGACGACCGTGGCACGAGTGACAATAGATCATCCGTTCGTCTGACCGAGACACTTGAGAAGAGCACAGTGGGCGAACAAGCCGAGACAGTTTTAGCGATAAACCACAGCACAAACAAGAGAAATTTCATAGAGAGGTACACATTGACTGATGCTGGGAAGGGCTACTTTTCTTTCGGATACTTTGTACAGAGAATTTTGGGTCAAAATTGAAAACTACATATTTGTCCTTTACAGGACGACTCACTCATAGACAACCCGTCTGAGCCTCCATCAATCACACAATCTAAAAAGTGATACCGCATATTTGACACATCCGGCAATGAATGTCCTATCTGTTGTACTGAATTGCACCTTTAGCCTCAATTCGTAAATCCTACGTTTGTACATTCATTTTAGCAAGGATCTGCAGTGATACTACTCTTCCTTGAGGAACGGTATGGGTGAAGCTGACGGGTGGATCCACGGTCACGTCGACGATCCTCAGAGTGCACCCGTCGGCCTCTGGGTTGGCAGTGGCAGGATCGATTAGGCCGCATATTAACCCGTCCGACGTGACGACGTTTGTCATATCCTTCAGCTGCGGATTCTCTAGGACAATCTTCCAGCTGTCAGTGTCGGCATCGTATGTGCTGAGCTTGCCGAGCGCCTCATCGATTGCAAAGAATCGGTTGTTGACAGATACGCAATTCATCGTCCATCCTCTCTTTAGGCCGGGCCGCATCTTAGACCATTTCTTGGACACTGGACAGAAGACGGCTCCCTCTTTCATGAAAACTCCCCTGCCACTGACAATGTGCAAATTGCCTTCCACGTTCACGGCGGATATGGCCTCGCCGCTGAACTTCGATGATTCCAAGTCCGGTAGAATCGCCCAAGAATCCGCGTCAATGTCGTACATTTCGGTCGTCCTGGAGAGGCCCATATCCCACTGCTGCCCAGAGCCGCTTGCTACGTACACTTTGTCACCCGAGACTCCACAGACGCACCACTTGCGTGGGGTGCTGAAGTCCTGGCCTTTCTTCCATTGACGGATTTTGGGGTCGAAAACCCATGGCTGTTGCAAGGCGGGCTCGAGCTGCGACCAGCTTTGGCTGCCGCCAGCTCCCTGGGCCGATTTTAATCCCGCCACCATCACCAACTTGTTTCTGGTGCTCACGCACTGCACTGCGTGCGACATGCCGATGCTCCCCGGGGAGGTCAACTGGAAATCTACAGTTTCAGGCATGTCGGGCAGGGCGTGCCATCTTTCATTAAGAGGGTCAAATGCGTTCCATGCGAACCGCCCTTCTTTCGTGCGCACCAATGTGTACAGCCATTTCATTTCAGTCTTCCCTCGCTCGGATCGTGCGAAATGGAATTCTTCGGATTTGTCGACCATCTCTTGCCAGCGCTTGCAGACACCCCACAGAGAGGTCAATGGAACTCTTGCCAGACATTGCGAAGCTATGTCTTCCGGCAAGCCCGGAATCAAACTGTCCTCTGCGGTATCCTCCATAGCCTGGGCCCTCTTCCTACAGGAAGCAACTGCCCAGCACATTGAGAACGAGATGTCCAACTGCTTGATTTCGTTTAAATGCTACGCTTCTCGCTGTTCAGCTCCTTCGACAACCTTCGGTACTGGGGATTCTTCCGCACAATCTCACTCACAGAGAGCTCTATGGGACTCAACAAGAACCCGGAAAACATGAGGTCTTCACGACGCCTGGAAGATAGAAGCACATTCCTCGCACACACAGGACATGGACGAGAGGCTTGGGAGGCTCAAGTGCACACACAGGATGAGAGCTCTCCGCCAGAATCAGAATGAATGTGACGTGCAACGGGGAAGGGGCGGCACCTAATGGAGACAAGGCTCAAGCCGATCTAATATAGACCTCACCTCGCTATCCTTCCTGGCTCCCCCGATCTCTGACAATCTATAGACAAACAAGAATCCTAAAATTGCACACTGCACACTGGCACACAGCGACACAAACACAGAAAGACTTTTCGCTGTATTTAGTCCATTCCTGTGCACGGTCCAGGTAGCAATCCCAACACGCCTCCTCCTCCTCCTCCTTTCTTCATGTCTCGAAAAAGTCGGAGTCCGGAGGGATCCTCTCGAGATTAAAATCAATACCCGGGGCCAACAGCACCAACTGTGCGCAGTTTAATCTCGCCCGGAGTAAATTCTCTCAGACTGACTCACTGGCTCACTTTCCAGCCGGTAAATCTAATCGGCAGGAAGCCCTGGCTTCCCGTCCCGTCGCCTCTGCGGATCGGTTCAGCCTCACCCTTCCCACGAACCACTGCTTAGCTCCATCTGCCGCGGGAAAGTGTTTTGGCTTTTGGCATTTGTTTCCTTTGTGGATGGCATGGTGGGACTACTTCGCCCGACTTTTCGCGGAGGCAAGAGCCGAGGTGCGACTTGACACGAGTCCATGACAATGTTTCATTACACCACCGTAGTCCGTTTCGTAGCCTCGGTGCGCCGTAGCCCCTTTGTAGCCCACCGTAGCCTCCTCCCACTTCCTTCATTCGTTCCTTCTTCGTCATGATCGGTTTCGTTTTCCCCAGATCCTCCATGCTGTACCATGCCACGGCTTTCCGACGGATCGCAAAGGATACCCAAGGAATTAAATTTCAAAAGGAGAAAGGAAGTGCATAAAATCTAATATATAATTCAGTCTTACTCCTGCACTTTACATGTGAGGTGAGTAGTCCAATATTCTAAGTCATTGATATACTGGTATCTGAATACTGAAGTTTACTATTTAGCGATCATCAGGCAAAACTATATTGGTTAGTGCATCTCAAAACTCACGGAGGTGCTACCTGTGAATGTGAGCTTTTAACTCCGCGATATTATCTTAGTTGTGATTATTCATTACCTGGAATTCGATTACCGGCGATTCTTAGAGCGACTCTCCGATGGCCGGGAAAACCAATTCTGAGCAACTCAGTGTCATGCAGGACGATTACTCCTGTAAAGAAGACACAAATAACATTACAAGTCATCTTAAGATAACGAGTGGTCACGTATTTACAATGTCCAGGGCGGAGACTATTTTGAAATATTCTACTTGTAAGGTAAATTTTCCCCACGTTTTTAAGATATAGAGTTGTTAATTTTTTCATTATTGCCACATGTGTTTACGTATTTCATACTTATTAACTTTTATCAGAAATTCTGAAATAAAAAAATCTAAGGTTTGCATAAACAAGGTCGGCATTTCGAAGATTATCATGTCTAATCAAAGCTGTATACTGTTATTATTTATACAATTTAAAACTGATTCAGGAAAAAAAACTTGTCCATCAGTTGAAGATTCGTAGCCAGTAACTATCTAGTAGTAATGCTGTTATCATGAGCAAATGCTTTAACATGTGACTTGTTCATATCATGTTAATTAAGAAAAATAATCTTCTATTCAGTTCGATTTGCTGGAACCAAGGAAGTGAATCAGCGCTGTTATTTGCCCTAAGCACCCTGAAGCCTGCAATGAGGATCACACCACCTTCAGTAGAAAGCACAACAACAAAAAGGATGGGAAGACCCATCAAGTCGAACGTGGATGAAATCAAAAGGGCGATTCTTGATGGAACAATTTTTGTAGACATAACCAGTCCCATGAATTGTAACAAAATCTCTGCCAACTAGGGCATCATAAACCTATGGTTTCAACTTTCCTATAATCTGATTAACTTTCTGGCTGCCTTGTGACTGTCTTATACATATGAAAACCAGGTTATCTGCACTCTATGTGCATGTGTGACATGACATGTGCACTCTTAGTGCACATGTCATGACACACATGTCACACCACATTTATTCCACCCTAACTGGTTTGACCTATGACTTTCCATTTTCTTTTAGTGTCATTGGCCTTGTTTTTCTGGTGTGAACTTTTGTATCCCAATGCACTTTTATAAATTTTTTGCCTCTCGTCCCAATGACCCAGAAAAATTGGAAGAAGTATAGAGTACGTAGCCCATCAACGAGTACGTGCAACCGATCGGTTGTAGGGATCTGCTGATCTTTACCGTCGGTCTTGTCAGGTGCACGTTTTTTGGTTGATAACGCACAAAAGGGATAGCCACTGAAAATGGGTTGATTTTGTCAGATATGTTATACCGAAGTAAGTTAAAGAAGACTACTATCACGTATGAAGTAAAAGTGTTTCAATTCCATGGCTGTCGAAATAAAATATAGGCAGATTTGAAGAGACCACATCAATGTTTCTAAATAAAATCAAGAGACACAATCTTCTCAACTGTGTTTGAGTTGTCTGATGGGGTGAAGGATTACGATCATATATTTTGTTATGCCTTTATGATGGCTTTCTATATACTTTAAAGGTCCCAGATCTATGTACCTCCTAATATTTCGTTAAAAAAATAGATCAGATCCAACTTCTATAATGGTTCAAGACAATCATCTTTGCTAAAGCTGGCAGCCTATAAATTTCAAAGTTCGAAACGCTTAGCACCACAAATTCATTATGCAAGATAAAGTATAATATTGCTTTATACTCTTCCTTGATATACTTCCTTAACACCAATTCAATGGTGATGCTTTTATGAGCGATCCCCATCATGACGTCGTCTGAGAAAGCGAGAGTGAGAGATGAGAATAGACTAGGATTTGATGAGAAGCTTTCACAGTATACTGGAGTTTCAGTTCCAAACATCTCACTATGTTGTTCACTTGAAGGCAAGATAGGTATGCGATATCTTTAGTTTTAGTTCACCGACGTACTAATGATCTCTCAAATGTCACTGACCCATTTTGAGGGGCATGGCCTTATTGCCACGATTACTATGGCACTTAAATTTCCTTAGGAGTATGGCCACAATTAGTTTCTTTGTTGTGCTCGCATTTTTCCATTTGCTATAACCTTTCCCCCGTGAGAATATTTTACACACGGATTATCAATATCCTTTAATAATCTTGACCCTATTTTGATAGAGTCAAGATTTATACCTACTGTTATTTTGAATCACCGATTTAGACTGTGATCGCATATCATCAATTCTAGCTTCAGCCTCTAATTCTTAGTCATCGAGCTAAGCTAAAAATTCGGATGTGCTATGATTTATTGTTTTGGAATGATCTCCAACGAAACATCTAGTTAGCAAAGCGTCCTAGTTTTCATATCACTTGTTTCTTTGATGGTCAATGCCGTCTGATTCTACTTCATCCATCTCGGGTTTACTACATTTTTTGTGCACTTATGATAGGGAATTTCAAAACGAAAGTAACATTTATATTTCACGGCTTGGTGGGACATTCCCATTTATTCCCATTTACACCTTCCGACGGGCGTTACATTCTTACAGTTCCCACACTGGCTGCGTTCCCGAATCTGGGATGAAGAACCGCAGTTAAAGAAAAAACACTCGTGGTGCTCTCTTCCCTTGCTCTCCTTCTTTTACTCATCTTCTTCCCTTAGTTTCAAGTAGCCATCTGATTCTATATGTATCTTTAGCTCTTTGTTTGTGCTAAATCGTTTTTTAAAAACCAACGTGCGCTTTGAGCGAAGGATTTAAATTCAAACATGAAGTAAAAGTCCACATCTGACGAACATGAATGGCCCAAATTTATCCCGTTGGATTTGGCACAGGTGGGTTTGTGGATAGGCTTGCAAGTGTAGTTATGTAACACCAAGGAACTGCCTCCACGTGTCTCATTTCTAGGGACTTGAGTAGATGTCGAACTGCATTCGTGGTTCAAAGGTAAAGTCGCAAACGGGGAACTATGGAGCCCAAAACAAGACGTTGGTCATACCATATAACAAGGAAAATAAATATATCGTGGAGAGAAATGTTGACAAATATCTAAGCTTTATGTCGTGACCACGTATGACCAGATCTCCCAAAAGGTTGTGGATGTCCTTGTCATACGTACTGACACGTGTTCGATTGGATTCTATGCTTGTTGCTGCATCTGTATATACGATGTACCGAATATCTTATGTAAGAAGTAACGAGGTATAACTTATACCGTATAAGTTATACCTCGTTACTTCTAAATCCTACCTCGTTGAGAATATCAAGGCGAGTTGGTGACTCATTCTTACCCTCTGTCCTTGAACCGAGGTTAAATTTGACCTCACCCCTGGGCTGGTTATTCCTGACGACCCTTGCAGTTCCGTCATCCGAGAGTGAGAGCATTCTTCTACTTAGGGTTTTCGATAATTGATTGTTTTTCACTTGATTTTCGATAATTCCTTTACAGTCCGAAACATAATGAATCACTTTCATTGCAAGGTGTCTTTGATTGTAGACCTCTCAATTACTGCTCGTAGAGCTTTTCCTTTGTCATGATAAAGACCTTCAGTAATTTTTTATTTGTGCTCAAGCCCTTGTAATAGCTGAATAATGATCAAAGGAGACTCTGCTTCAATGAAGGACGAGCAACAGAGGGACTTGAGTTGTCATTTGTAAAAACTTTTCACTTTTAGCTTATGGCTGTCAAGTAATGTCACTAGAGTCCAAAACTTCATAGAATGGAGAATGCAAATTACATGGAGTTAGCAGCGTACACAACATGGGACAACAAAGACCTGAGAGCACACAAAGGGATCCAAATGTAAACCAGAGGAGATGAAAGTGGTTCTGATGAGTTAGTTTAAAACATGAATTTACAACATGTCAACGTATGACAGATCCTGCAGATAAAATTTGGTATTCTTGAGTGGCATAGATAAATAACATGACTTAGAAAGACTTAGAACGCTATGAAGGCAATGATAATAAGTCGTCAACAGAGATAGATCTCTGTCTCCTAATGTAGTTGTAGTACAAGGTGCTCGTTGTAAAAACTCATCCCGGTTAACAATGAGAACTAAATGGTTTTTTTGACCATTTTTGCTAATCTGACTCTCACTTTACATCTTCTGGCGGCGACTTTGTTATCTGATATTTTTTCACTCTTGTTGATCCCTTCTTCTGTTGACTCTTGTTGATCCCAATTAGATAGGATATCATATCATATTTGCTTTCTTTATTAATCGATACAATTGGGCATCCCGCGTGAGATCTGGATATCAATATGCTTCACTAGATTGACTTGGATATGGATCGAACTTCATAAGA